CCCAGGTGAGTGCCCAGGTGTGCCCAGGTGTGCCCTCACCTGCCCTGACCCCCGGCACCATCAGAGACCTCAAACAGGTGAATTTTGGGTGAATTTCGGTGGATTTTGATGAAATTTGTGCAGATTTTCACAGGAAATTCGGGATTTTTGGCCCCCAGGTGTGCCCAGGTGAGTGCCCAGGTGTGCCCTCACCTGGCCTGGCCAATGGCATTGCCAGAATCCTCAAAAAGGTGAATTTTGGGTGAATTTTGATGGAATTTTGTGCAATTTGTGCAGATTTTCCCAGGAAATTCAGGATTTTTGGCCCCCAGGTGAGTGCCCAGGTGTGCCCAGGTGTGCCCAGGTGTGCCCAGGTGTGCCCCTCACCTGGCCTGGCCCATGACACCATCAGAGACTTTGAACAGGTAAATTTTGGGTGGATTTGGATGGATTTTCATGCAATTTGTGCAGATTTTCACAGGAAATTCGGGATTTTTGGCCCCCAGGTGTGCCCAGGTGAGTGCCCAGGTGTGCTCAGGTGTGCCCTCACCTGGCCTGGCCCATGAAGTCGTCGTAGAGGAAGCGCTGGCGCTTGGACAGGCGGCACCGCAGCACGTGCTCGTACTTCTTGGGCATCTGCTTCTCCACGTCCACCTTGAGGCGGCGCAGCAGGAACGGCCGCAGCACCTGCGGGGGCACCTGCTCAGGTGTGCCCGGGCGTGCCCAGGTGGGACCCGACACGCCCCGGGGCTGGCCCAGTGTGCCCCAGGTGTGCCCAGGTGTGCCAAGGTGTGATCCAATGTGCCCCAGGTGTGCCCAGGTGTGCCCCAACACAGACCAGGTGTGCCCCAGGTGTGCCCAGGTGTGATCCAGTGTGCCCCAGGTGTGCCCCAGGTGGGACCCGACACGCCCCGGGGGTGGCCCAGTGTGCCCCAGGTGTGCCCAGGTGTGCCCCAACACACCCCAGGTGTGCCCCAGGTGTGCCCCAGGTGTGCCCAGGTGTGTCCCAGTGTGCCCCAGGTGTGTCCAGGTGTGATCCAGTGTGCCCCAGGTGTGCCCAGGGGTGATCCAGTGTGCCCCAGGTGTGCCCAGGGGTGATCCAGTGTGCCCCAGGTGTGCCCAGGTGTGCCCCAACACACACCAGGTGTGCCCCAGGTGTGCCCAGGTGTGTCCCAGTGTGCCCCAGGTGTGCCCAGGGGTGATCCAGTGTGCCCCAGGTGTCCCAGGTGTCCCCAGGTGTGCCCTGACACACCCCAGGTGTGCCCCAGGTGTGCCCAGGTGTGATCCAGTGTGCCCCAGGTGTCCCAGGTGTGCCCTGGCATGTCCCACATATGCCCCAGGTGTGACCCAGTGTGTCCCAGGTGTGCCCCAGGTGTGCCCTGGCATGTCCCACATATGCCCCAGGTGTGCCCAGGTGCGTTACCTTGTGCAATCTCTTCACCAAACTCTCGTTGTACTCCTGGCTGCCCTCGATCCTGGTGCCCAGGTGTGCCCAGGTGTAACCCAGGTGTGTGTACCCATTCCCAGGTGTGCCCAGGTGTGCCCAGGTGTGTGTACCCATTCCCAGGTGTGCCCAGGTGTGCCCAGGTGTATCTCAGGTGTGTGTACCCATTCCCAGGTGTGCCCAGGTGTAACCCAATGTAACTCAGGTGTATCCCAGGTGTATCCTATCTCTATGTACCCATTCCCAGGTGTGCCCAGGTGTGCCCAGGTGTGTGTACCCATTCCCAGGTGTGCCCAGGTGTGCCCAGGTGTGCCCAGGTGCGTTACCTTGTGCAGCCTCTTCACCAGGCTCTCGTTGTACTCCTGGCTGCCCTCGATCCTGGCGCTCAGGTGTGCCCAGGTGTGCCCAGGTGTGCCCAGGTGTATCCCAGGTGTGTGTACCCATTCCCAGGTGTATCCCAGGTGTATCCCAGGTGTGCCCAGGTGTGCCCAGGTGTATCTCAGGTGTGTGTACCCATTCCCAGGTGTGCCCAGGTGTAACCCAGGTGTATCCTATCTCTATGTACCCATTCCCAGGTGTGTGTACCCATTCCCAGGTGTGCCCAGGTGTGCCCAGGTGTATCCCATCTCTATGTACCCATTCCCAGGTGTGCCCAGGTGTGCCCAGGTGTGCCCAGGTGCGTTACCTTGTGCAATCTCTTCACCAAACTCTCGTTGTACTCCTGGCTACCCTCGATCCTGGCGCTCAGGTGTGCCCAGGTGTATCCCAGGTGTGTGTACCCATTCCCAGGTGTGCCCAGGTGTGCCCAGGTGTGCCCAGGTGTAACTCAGGTGTATCCCAGGTGTGTGTACCCATTCCCAGGTGCGCCCAGGTGTGCCCAGGTGTGCCCAGGTGCGTTACCTTGTGCAGTCTCTTCACCAGGCTCTCGTTGTACTCCTGGCTACCCTCG